GTAGCATAAAAAATATCGAGGTGTCGGAAAAATTGTCAGAAACTGTACACACCTTTATGTCAATGAATTATAATGTTTATAGTGTACATAGGATGAAATTATTTTTATTACCCGTGGATATATTATAAAAAACACTATACATGGCATAATATGTGCATAATTATAATATGTTTTTTATTTATCATCTTAACTTTCACATTTTTTTTACTTATATTTAGTAACTGTTATTTTATTATTGAACTATTGGAGTAACGAATTTCAAAATTTTTCTCAATGACTACCTGAATCAAAAACTTGTTTATAAAATAATCATAAACCTTAATCGTTATAACTAAGGCTCGGAACTGGAAGAATTTGCATATTTGTTGAAAAAGTGCATATTGAAATTCTAGTTCGATACAAATTCGATCAATAGTACGCTGATTTTAAATATAATCATTTTTGATGCATAATTTTGCGTATTTCGTTATTTCTACAGGAATTCGCCTATTTAAGGTTACTTATATGCTGTTATAACTTTTATATGCATATTTCATATATTTAACGAAACAATTCTTTTTTTTTACAAATTTATAGTTCAAAAAAAATCTATAAAAGTAAATGATAACCAAAATTCTAAATTTTATATCAATTGAAAAAATTAACTAATTCATTGAAGACTATTTTAGTATTGCTCCTAATGCCCTTAACGATATAATCTCTTAATATTATTGAGAAATTATAATAGTGATCGCCGATGAATTAATTTTTATCTAAATTTATCAAGGCATTATTATTGTACCATAAAGTGGTCGCTATCTGTATTTATTCATTTATACTTAGGATAATAATTTGATGAACATTGTATAGCTTGTATAACAGGAAACCACAACAATATACAATTGATCAGTGTTAATTTTTGTTTTTAATTTAAAATTTTATTTATTCCCCATGTACCTAATCTAGGTAAACTGTATTTTATTCAATAAATTACAAATTGTTGCATATTTTTACTGCATATTATACCGCATATTATGTTTTTTAACGGATATGTATGTAAATATTTGAGTACTTTTTAGCGCATAAAGTTCTGAATTTCAGTTATGACTATGTTCATTATTTAAGTTTTATTATATATCTGAACTATCATAGGGCATATATAACTGTTATTTTACTTATATTATATTTTAATCACATATAAGTCTATGGTAGTAAAAGTTGTTGAAAGCAAAGTTGAAATTTGTTCATTCAATAGTTCAACAGTTAAAATATATCTTGGTTAAACCCATTCTAAACTTTTTCGAGGATTATAACTTGTTACTATATTTTCTTAAAGGTTAGATCAATAGTAATTATAGAAGATTTAAATTTTTGGTTGATGACTTTGTTAGTTGTTTGACATAATAATTGGTAGCACATTAAGTCATCTTAAGGAACTTTTATCATTCACAAATCTAATGTTGTGTTTTATTTGTATTGTTAATTGCTAATCATGAAGGTTTTGTTATATCCTAATTGAAATCAGATTTAAAATTTCATACTAGGGTAACAAATAAATTGCTTAAATTCATAAACTAATGTGATGAAAATAAGATATTGAGTTTAATTTAAACGTTATTGGCGATAACATTTTCTGAATTCGACCGCCAAATCTTGTAGATTTCTTAAAAGTTTCGAACATCAAAAAAAACAAATACCTATATACGAGTATATGTGCATCGGTGGGAGAAAAAATATTATTGTTGATGATTACGCATCGAAAAGATAAATTAAACGGTGAAGGTTCAATACATATCTATGCTTTCGTGTATATCGCTACCCTAATAGTAACCACACGTATCTGCAAAAACCTCAATTTTCAGGAGAGCACATAAAAACCATCTAATTTTAAATAAATGTATATATCCGAACAATTTATTGATGTAATATGTCATCATGTATAAGTTAATTATACTTTTTTTTTGAATCGAACTTATAAAAAAGTCGCTTGTATTATTGTATGTAGATACGGGTTCTTCACAAATAATTTTACAGATACGAGTAAATGTTTTTGTAGATACTTGTTATTGAATTATTTAAAAACATAAGAAACAACACTTAACTGAATATAAAAAACAATATTATTTTTATTAATTTTAAATTTTATAGTGAAAGTATGTAATAACAGCTTAATTTGCTAATATTATATATTATTTTAATTGAAATATAAAACAAAAACAATATTATGATACTAAGATTATAATAAAAACAACAACCAGTCTTTAGTTTGCATTAATATAATATTATTTAAAGAAAAATTAAAATAAAAAAAAACAAATTAAAATATAATTTAATTGAAACATAATCAAAATAATATTTTACATAATATTATGTAACAACAACTTAATTTACCAGATTTTGGTAAGACTTTAAAAGTAATAATAAAATAAAAAACATTATGACAAATCAAAACAAAAAGTTAACTACCCAGTCTTAGGTTTACATTAATCTTTTTAAATAAAAAAACATAACAAATTTAAATATAATTTCATATTTCTTTTTCTTTTCTTGGCTTAATATAGACCGTTCAGGTCCTTTGCCGCAACCACCACTTCCCTCCATCTATCTCTATCCGTGGCTAGCTCTTCGCCGTTCAAGATTTCCAGCATATCCAAGTCTTTATGGACCCTATCTACCCATCTCTGTCTTGGGCGGCCGAGTGGTCTTTTGCTCTTCGGCTTCCAGTAGGTGACTTGACCAATTGTCTGCTCTCGGCCTCGCCATATATGCTCTGCCCAACTTATCTTTTTGCTTTTCATAGTAGCTATTATGTTCGAATCCTCTAACATGTTTATCACCTCTTCATTCTTTCTTCGTTCATATTCTCTCGTGTTTTGGTTTCTTCTGAGGCCAACAATTTTCCGTAACACCTTTCTTTCAAATTTTGCTAGGTTTTGCTAGTCTGTTTTGATCGTGGTCCAGGTTTCACACGCATATAGCGCTATCGGACGTATCATTACTTTGTATAGGGTTAGTTTAGATTTGATTGAAACTTGTTTAGATTTTAATATTGTCTTTAGTCTGAAGAAGTACTTGTTAGCTGAGTTTATTTTGTTTTGGATTTCTTTGTGGTTATTGCCCGACACGTTCAATTCCACCCCTAGATACTTGAAATTTCCGACCAATTCGAACTCCATATTTCTTACCATCAAATTATTATGTATATTATTTTTCCGTGAAAACATCATGTATTTTGTTTTTTCTTCATTTATAGTTAAGCCCATTAGTTTGCTTTCATCCATGAGAGATTCTGCCATACTCTGTTGGTCGCTCTCAGATTCGGACAGTAAAACTATGTCATTGGCGTATGCTATTAGTTTAATAGTCTTAGATTCTTGCAATTTGACTCCTATACCTGTGTTTAATGCATTTCTAATCACTTCCTCCAACGCAATGTTGAAGAGCATTGGTGAAAGTGCATCTCCCTGTTTCAGCCCTGTGTTGATCATGAATGCCTTCGACAGTTGGCCGTTAAATTTGACCATACATTTTGAGTTTTGAACACATGCTCTTATTATTTTGTGATTTTTGCTGGTACCCCGAGCTTTTCCATGGCTTTCCGTAAACTTTCCTGATTAATAGAGTCATATGCCTGTTTATAATATACAAATAACATGAATAGATCCTGATTGTATTCGTAACATTTTTCCATTACTTGTTTGACAATATGTATCTGATCCACCATTGATTTTCCCCTTCTGAAGCCTTCCTGGTATTCCCCGACTATTTCATCTCCATATGGCTTGAGTTTATTAAGGAGGACATTTTATAGAACTTTGTACGATGTATCTAGAAGCGAGATGCCTATATATATGTCGCAGTTCATTATATCCCCTTTTTTGTAGATTTTTGTAGATCGACAAATTCCAGGCTTCGGGTATTTCTTCTTCCCTCCATGCTTTTGTAATAATTTGTTCTAATTTTTTCATCACAGTTTTCCCACTCTTTTTCAATAACTCCATTGTTACATCATCTTCTCCGGGTGCTTTAACGTTTTTTAGTATATCAATTGCCATTTTTATTTCTTCCGTTGTTGGTTCATGTATCATTTGTTCCACTGTCGTCATATAGTGATCTACAGGTTCTGTTTGTCTTGTTTTAAGTAGTATCGTCTCAAACATTTCTCTGAATTTTTGAGCTATTTCGGTTTTATCTGTAATCAATGTTCCGTTTGGTTCTTTTAGGATGGTCGTTCTTGGTTTGTATCCGTTTTTTATGTTATTGGTTTTTTTGTATGAGATTTTGATGTTTCTTTTAAAGTTAGTCTCTATGTCGTTGATGTAGCTTTTTTCCCATTGCCTTTTAAAAAAGTCTTAAATAAAGTCTATCAGTCTGACTCCTACAGTAATGAGAAGGCATTTTTGGCAGTTGAGAAAACCATTTTTTCAAGTGTTTTATTCTTTTGGATGATGGAGCTTTTTGTCGGGGTGAAATATTATCAGATTCTGTAATTAATGAATGTGTTGATTTTGTTTTGCTTATTTTCCTTGGCAATCCATGAACAGCTGTATTGACCCAATTTCGTACCATCCATTCATTCAACCCCAAAGTGTTTAAAAACATTGTTTTACATACTTGAAGACGCTCAGAACTATTGTATTTCAAGAAATAAGAATAAATAAAAGAATAAAGAATAAATAAAAAAAAAGTATTTGACCTTCTACTATCATTACCCAGGCCTGTAGTATCTTTTTTACGTGATGTATTTATAACCATAGAAGTAACAAAAGTTTTTTTTTCTTCCCAAGTTGCATGCCAATATTTGTTAAAAATATCTTCTTTCATATCTTCATCAAATAGTTGGCAAAACCTATTCTTAAGACTTTGACATTTTTTAGAACTACATGTTACTTTCAGAGTTCTTTTATTTATATTAGTATCATGTTCAACTTTATTTCCATGCCTGCTGTAACCTATGTATGCTTCTCCAGACATTCTTTTTTTTTTGGTTACTTCACGTTTCCATTTCACCAAATTTATTTTTAAACTACGCTTTTTTTTTTAGATACAGTTGTTTCATAATCTGATGAATTTTCTTCTATGTCCATAGTACTTTTATTAATATAAATTTCATAAGTTGTCATAGTATTAGCATCTCGTTCAGTTAAGTCAATTAAAACTTCATTTTCCATGTCCATGAAGTTACTGTTACTACTCTCTATTTTTTCTAGGCTTTCTGTTATTTTACTTGTTTCACTTTCTTTATTTATCATTATATCAGTAGCATCATAGTTAAATAAATCACTAAAATTTAATTCAGAGAAATTAAATATTTCTTGAGATGCTTCAAAAATAATATGATTTTCATCACCTGTTAAATATTCGGTAGTAGATTCTATTTTGTCATCAGCGCGAATTCATTACATTTTTCGAGAGTGGTGTACGTTTGTACGAATTACTGGTGTAAATATTGTAGATACGTGTTATCACATTACATTTTCAGAGAAGGATTATCACTAATGTCTATTTTTTGAGGTTAATATTTTATTTGCAATAACCATGGTTATAGATAATAACGCGCGAAATTCTTCTGAATCGTTTGATAACATAAAAAAAAATCGAAAATTTGCAGATACGTGTTGTTGCTGTTAGGGTAGCGATATGTAGATTTGATCTTTACAAATCGATCATATAATGCTTATAATGGTGGCGAGCGATATGTACGGAATGTTGTGGTGTTATAAAGTTTAGTAAAATGTAGTATGATATGCTTATAAAATTGAAATAATTAAATTTGAAACAAAATGCACTACGTACGGTAAACCAGTTTGTGTTGCTATAATCTCTTACAAACGGTTGATATTAATAAATATAATATAAGATTGACCATCATTTTTTGGGGGCTATTTTAAGACGAGCAAATCGTTTTTTTTCCACGGGTAAGTGAAAACGTCGATGAAAATATAAATCATATAAATCAATGCCGTAGAATTTTTTTTTTTTCAAATTAGCGAGATTCTTAAAAATGTCCCTAACTTTGAGTTATGACGATCGAATACACGCACGATGACTCTCACGACTTTAAAATCCTTTATGTATCATAAGTAAAATTTATAACGTATAAGGTGATTCGTCTAGTGCTAAGGCACTACATGTTCTTTATTCACTCGATGCGGAATAAAATTGTACTATACGTTGTGCCTACTCATTAGTATACTGTACACTACTCCACGTAGGCGCGAATCCGACGCGTATACGAATAATATAAATAATAATATTAAGTTGTTGGTTTTTTGGTGCGTCTCAGCGAAGGAGTGAGTCACGACCGCTCATGCGTGTTGCACTGTTACTATATACGCCGTCATATCAGTAGTTATGTACACATAACTAACAGCTTTCGAGCTTTGGGATGGGACTATATTTTTTATAGACAGGTCATGTGTGGCATCCGTCAAGGGGATGTGACAAGAGTGTTTTTCGGCTACGCATAAATATGATAAATATGTACGTCGTACATACACACACACATACACACTAATGTATTACGTAATATATTGGTGACTTCGGATGAGCTCATCGTGCGATGAACAAGGCGCAGAGACAACGTCGTCTGATGTGAAGTATAACTGTGTCACACGAGTAAGTAAATAAACGTGAAAATATGAACGATAAGAATGATGTGATGGGCGGCAATGAGGTTTTGTCAAGAGCGCAAACGTGACAAAGGGTCTGTGCACCGAGCGAAAGCGTTATTATTTATAATTTTTTTAACACCACTCGACGTCTCACAAGCAAAAATATGTCATCCGCACCGATGTTTACCATCGAAAACCAATTAAAAATCGATGATTTATTAACATCTTCAAAGGGTCGCGTAACAGTAAAAATATTTATTTTTTTTATTCGTCTTTGTTTATATTTTTAGTTTTCATCATTACACTTAATCTGCCCAACCGAGTGACCCGATTTACGTACTAAGTCAACAAACGATATTTTTTCCTCGTTAATTTTTGTGTACAAAATCATTAGGACGTTGATTCAGATTAATTTGTTTACATGACAGTGTCACGAGTAAACCAGAAACATAATTTTGTCCACGTTCCGGTGAAATTGAAACGTGATCATTACCACGTCGGAGTTTTTACCGTCACCATAGTGAATACCTTTGAATGCGTTTATCTACTATAACAATTCGTTATACTGATTATAATTATGTGATGGTTACCGGTCAGTAAATATACTCATTGTAAGACCCGTTTCACATACGATGGTTTTTTCCCTTGAGCCGTGTGCGTTCGGTTGTATTTCATTTTGAAATTCCTAACTCGGTTAGCTTTCAACATGAATCGAAACGCATCGTTACCACGTGGCTTTTGTATGGCTATTTGCAATCACGTAGAAAACGACGTAACAATCGGATTTACCGAGTACATCCAATTAATGGATACACACTTCTTAGCCTAGCATTTTTTGTTCCATTTCTATCTTTGTGGAAATCTTAAGATTTATCCCGTAGTATAGGTCTGCATTCCACAGGAGAGATTAGCATTTCTGCGTCAATATTAAAGTTTTCTTATTACAAAAAGCGACAAAGAGCAGCTTCGACAACGGACGACAGACGAATAAGAATCGTTTTGTATGAAAGCCTACACTTGTTTCACGTAGACTACTAATAATGCGACGACGGTATAGAAATAATCCGATCACCGTTCCGTGCGAAAGCCGCAATTACTTTCATGGGTTTACTGTCAATTAAATTCCGTACGGACGAAACCGTTGTGAGTGACTTGTTATTCATCGGACCTGTAATCGATAAGATATTATAGTAATATATGTGTTAATAGTTTTGGCTAATAATAGTTAATCGGACTAATTATTGAAAAATAAGAAAATGCGGAGTACCTACTGAGTCGGAGTGTGAGAGTACAATGTCTGCCGAACAAAAAACCGAAGAGAACGTACTTTTACGCTATACTCCGATATTCGCATAGGTACGTGCACCAGAGGCGACTCGAGACCAATTTAAGAGGTTTTTAAAATTCAAAGGACACACACGTTCAAGATAACGTGTTACCCGGTTCGTATTATGGCTTAAAATATGTTTGATAAAATTTAAATATACATATAATCGCGGCCGGTACGTATAAACCGTCTAAAAAGTCCCAAATCCTAATGGTTTTTTTTTGTTTTTTTGAGGATTGGAAAGGCCATTGCTCACTTGAAATCCACTCCTAACGTGCGCACGTGCATAATGCGTATACGAATATACGTGTTTGGATGTATGAAAATATGTGTAGCACGTATAATGTGTTATTCGATACGAAAAATATTCTTCCTCACCGTACCGTTGCTCGTATTATTATATTGTTCTTTATGTTTTCCAGCAGAAGTGATACAAATTTAAATATATGCTCGCGTGGTGCGTGTATATGCATCGCGACAGTACACGTGCGTTGTATAATATTTTCTTTTCATTTACATATGCGTGTATTATTATTATTTTTTCACATGAAAACGTATTATTTTCATTTTATACCGATCGAGACTGGATACATTTTACAATATTGTTGATACTACAGGTTTTTCTTTTCGTTCACGGCGTATGTAATTTTCACGTACATTTATATTTTTCATGAAACGTTTAATTTCTTTACAGGCTCCGTACAGTGTATTGTAATTGTACAGCCATTCAAACTGGATGTTATGGACGGGAAAAATTGAGCATGTATTCTCTGTATGAATGTGTGTACGTAGGTTCTAGTTGAAAATAAATTACTATACATAAGGATTGATTTTACTATGGGCTTATAAATCAAACTATTTTCATAAGTCTACGGAGTGTGGGTGTGTGTGCATTTAAATGAAATATTTTATCGGATTTAAAATACCCCGAGTATTTTTGCTTTGTAGGTGTTACGAAATTATTTATGAAAACCGTATTCAGTGAAATAAATAATACGTGTAAAAACAAAATTATGCCTATAATAATTATCATCGTACTTTTTATTTTTACAGCGCAAAAAAGTTAATCTCAAAAACGTGTGTAACCCAAGGTTAAACTAATATGTTATTTCATCACATCAAACGTTATAATAACGGAACGGGTGACATAATTCCAAATACATAAACCATGCATTTACATCGACATATAATATTATGTTGAATAAACTCGGTTTTCTTAAGATTATGCGAAAGGAATTTATTACTCGTAAGATTTCAACTATAATAATCCTTTGAATACATACGTTCATAATAGGACTCAAGTGCTTATGAGAACACCGTTTTTTAAAATGCGTCGTTTTAAAATATTATTGTGTAACGATATCTTCCCCATGCTGCTGTAGTGTCATAATAGTTATTGTGAGTGAGTGTGCATCGGACTGCATATCTTTTTTTTATAAAAAATCACTGTGCAATATTTAGCGTGCATAAACGATTTATTTGTGGTTGTAATTTCACATCTATGTCTAAATATTTCAATTTAAAAGTATATTTAATATAATGTAATAAAACTAAATTATTTTTTACGACATCAATGCGACGTAACTACGAATGCAACGTACCGAATTCAAACGTGTGATTAACCGAAATGTATGATTACGACAGAGAACTTGTAGAATTTTTATATTTGTTTTGCACAATCACAAAAATATAGCAGAGTGCGAAACAAATGCGTTCACAAAGGTAGTCTTGAAATGTCAATTGACGATGCCGTTTTAGGCTGTTTTTGGATTGATTATCTCACATGATGCAATTGAATAATCTGTGTTTCGAAGGTTACCGTATTGACGGTGACTAAGGATGATAGTTAGATAGTAATGTATTTAAAAATAATAAAAATAAAATGAAATCATAGTTCAGAAATAACGAAACGTACGAATCCACTACGCATAAGGTTTTTTAACGGGACAGTTTGGTTTTTTGTACCTGTGTCCCGTTGTTCCCCGAGGGATTTTCTGAACACTAAATGGTTCCATTTTCAGAAAGTAGTAAAAATTACGATGATCAATTTTAATTTTTTGATGAATTATTGTTCCTATTATATTAAACAAATATGTGTGGTACCAGGCGTGGATCCATGGAGGGGGGTGGTAGGGGCGACCACGTGATACGTACGATACTTATGGGTAATATGGGAGATAACGCAACACTACAGACTTAATCATGAAATGTTAGTTAAAAAACTGATGATTGATCGAGAATACCAAATAAAAAATTTGAGTTACTTGATGTGACGTAACTATTTCTTTCGCCGTTTAATTGTTATTGAATAAATCTGCAATTAGAATTGATGTCTATATATTTTTATTTTTTTATTAATTATTAATTTATGAGTTGTATGTATTTATACCGAATGTTAATGAATAATAGGTTTATAGAATATTTTATTATTTAAAGCTCAATGTCGATGGGAATACGGATACCTACTGAATCAATATAATTTCAACTATCAATTATTCCTCCTTCAAATAAAACATTTTAGCTATAAATAATTATAAAATTATAATATTTGTATTAACACGAATTAATATATAATTTATACATTGAGTTAAACGTTTTGCAGTTATTTTTTAACAGGTTTTAACAGTTTTATGATTATTTATTAGGAGTATGCACATATAATGCAGCTAACCATCTAATCAGGATCTATGATTTCATCGAATTAAAGCTGTTTTATTTGTTTAAGTCATAAATTTCAGTGTTAGAAAAAATAATATTCTAGTTGAAATAATATAGTTAATTTTCATGTTAACTAGAACCAGAAACGTTATTTTAGCTTCGAACAATCAAATTCTTTTTAATTTTCCATGAACAAGTCACCGGTTAGTGTAACAACATATAGTATTTCGCACTCTGAAAATAAATGAGATGTATTTTAATTCTAATGAAGTGTATTTCTCGTGGTTCTTTAAACTATATTGATGTACTTTATGTAAAAAAATGGTTATTATAAAAGTAGTGGCGCTTGAAAGGTAAAATAAAATTTATACTCGTAAAAGACAATACCTACTGTTTTATAATTTTTGAATCGAAGATTTAGTTTGGGATGCATTTCGATTTTGAACGTATGTTAATTTTAATTTATAAAAAACAAATTATCAAAGTATCTTATGAATTTCATCAAATTATGAATTAATTAGTTAACTAACTATATTTTTTTTATTAATGCAGTGTTTCTTACTATGTATAGTTGTGCAATTGATTGTAGGAATCCGAAGAAATTGTTGGCAATGTGTTTTTGAGAATTGTATTTGAAGAGGAAAAAGAAATGAGACAAGGTCATTGAAAAATTCAATTAAGTGCATACGAAAAAAAAACAGGTATATAACTATTATAATGTAATATGATGGAAACGATTGGAAAATATTGACATGGAATTGGTGTGTTTACTTGGAACGGATATTACACTATGAGTTTGGGTGTAATTTTTATTGTATATATATTTTTATTTTAAAATTCCAAATAGATTACAATTGATTGATCAAAAAATTACGAGAAAAGATTTTGTATCGTATACATTAGACGGAATGAGTTTGTGTAGTTAGTAAAGTTTCGTTTTCAACTATGGTAGAAACAATTCTATAATAATCTTGTACTGTAATATACTTTGTTTCATCGTGTGGAGTGTGGTATAAAAATATTATCTTTATTACTGTAAGTTATTGTAATTATAACTACACAATAAGATGTTTACAATAGCCAATATTTTCTGGTTGTTCTAACCGTAGAACGGGAAAATAATTTTATAAATTTTAATTATTTGATCGAAAGAATATTGAATGCTACAGACCGAAAAAATAATCATGCAGAGGTGGCAAATTATGATTTTTAATGATGATTAAAAATTTAAATGAGTACTCATCCAACGATATAGACATTCAATGAGAATTTCAAAAAAATTCAAGCCGGACGTATTATGAAAATCTTGTTTCAGGAAATATTCCGCCAAGGAAGTTGAAAACATTTCAAGACACAGATATAATAATAAAAATTTAATAAATAATTATGATAGGCAAAATGTATTTATATTTTCAAGATGTATAGCAAATAATATTGGTTTGTAATAACATTTTAGAATAAGAATATTTATATATATTGACTAAATAATTATACAATATATTTTAACCGTAATAATTATTTATTTATTAATTTTTTTTCGTAATTATTTTATCTTATTTATTTATAATTTAAAACGACTATGGTTTTTATGTTATTAAATAATAATATTTAACATAATATTACACTTTTTTTCATTATTAATTTTTGCCGATACGTCCGCACCGAAATATTGGCGCCGAAACGTCCTATATCCTGATTTGGGTACCCGTAAACTCATAGTGACAGATTTAAAAAGCCAGTCCGATTAAAATAGCGATTTCATATTGTAATATTATCCTGTATGTGTTATACGAGTACGTCAGCGATCGTAATTATCGATATTAAATTAATATAATATTAAATTGCACGTACATGCACCGACGTATTGATTGACGGTCATGAATCATTGACAATTTCCTATTACCATTGTTTTGCAATAATTAAATTTATCTAGATGTTTCATTTACATAACAACTTCGTATATTTATTTTATCCGGATAAAAACAAAAAATTGGTATTTAATTTTCATTTAGATGGAATTTGTAACTATCTAGATAAATTTATCAGGATTATTCACAAAGAGCGAAGTCTGTACTCGATCTCGATGTATCCGATTATAATTTATAGCTCAAGACAAGATATTTTAATGAATTGACAAATATTGAAGTGTTTGAATTAAAAAAAAAAAATCTTTAACTATTAAACCAATATCCTATTATCAAATAAGATATTTTTGAAGTACAATACAGTCCTTCCTTCATCAGCACTTGTAGAAAAGTTGTTTAGTGGTGATGTACAAGTTTTATCATCGAGGCAAAATCATCTTGGTGGTAGAACTTGCGATCTTGGAAGCCAAATTTTGTTACCTTTAAGTTAACGATATTTTAATAACGAAAACCATAATACACCAAATAACAACTTTATGATTATTTTGTGCATTGAGATACGTGATACGGTGGTTGTTATGCACATAGCAGACGTCACCGATGCCGTCCTTAGCGTTACGAGTGCATATATTACTATTATTATTATTTCTGCGTTCTCGGTGTGACACAGGGAGAAGTGGAAGGATGCCAGGTACAGTATACACGTATATATGGAAATAGTATCCTTCGCCACTCGCGTTCTCGTGTTATCGTCGTTTTTCATCGTACTTGACCTTAATGAAAACTCGCGTGCGTTCCGAAATTGATCACTACAATATGAAGTATACATACGTTTACCACGGGGATGCGTAAATATCAAAAATAAACCATTACCCGTACACGTGATGTTTGTACAGTGAACCGAACGGCCGCGTTCGTGAAGGGGTGTTTATTTCGAAGCAATCGAGATTAATCCGTAGAGTTCGAAGAAAATAATAACAACGGTATAATACTTGAATCGTTTTAGCTGTTGGGAATATTTCCAAAGTTTCCGTTACGGTGGACCTACATTCATCCCGGTTTTAATGGCATGCCTCGGCCGGTCATTGAGTTTGTCCCGGTTGATAGAATTTCAGCGAGTATAAAATTTAATATTGTACACACCGTATTATTATATCAAGGCTATCGTATTATGTTATATAAATTACTTTTAATGAGAAAGTATTAATTAGTTAATTACTGCGATGAGTAGTTATTTCAAAATTTCTCACGGGACTTGTAAATATAATGAGTAATGAAGTATTTATCAAAATTTGAAATTTACGTATTTTCAAACCCCACTCCCTTTCCGCATTCCGAAATTTTTTCTTCCGTTCTCCCCTGATTATTTTTAAGGTTTTCGTACTGCCGAAATCCCAGCTGTTTCGAAAATCTCGTCATTTGAGACTTGTATATTATCACAATGTCTGTCTGTACTTAATATATTCCAAAACGTATGCATGAACGTGATTAAGCTAAAATAATTCCTTTTCATTCGGATAAACGGATAGGTATTTCCAATGGTTGCTTAACTTTTTTCTATCGCGGTAAATTATTGTTAGTAATCATAAAAGTTGCAACGCACCTTGTATTTACCAAAAATAAGTACTTTAGAAATTTAAAAAAATAAAAGAGACTTCTAGGTCGAATTAGACTCCGCCGTCGAAGGTGATATAGGAATGGGTGAATGGTGTTGTTGAATTGGTTTTTGTGTCGTGAGTATACGTATGTTACGTATGGAAATAGTTTTAATTCCATTTAAGTCTCGATTAATACTTTTTTTCCGTGTATATGAAGGTCTATAAGACTTTGAATTCGTTTTTGGTGTCGATCGATTTTCTGACGGTGGATTTTTCGACGTAAAGTTCGATTTCCGGACTCGGCTATCGTATGATAAATTGTTCATTGCCCTCCACGCTCTCTGCCGTTTTATACCCGCATAAACATGAGGTCACGTATATGAGCATACTCTACGATTTCTGTTCGTGATACACGAACACCGCAATGAGCGTTTTTAATTGACCGCAATCGTCGTAGAGCTTAATTTTGACATTGGAATTTATTTATTGTTTTTTGCTGCTGTACCACATTTTATTTTTTTTTTTCCATTAACACATGACTACTGTTATATTATATAGGATCGTTTGCATTATACTTTCGCGAGAATTTATATTCAAGCATAACAGTTATAATGTTTGTACTGGGGTTGTGCTTTCCGTTTTAATTTGACAAAAAATAAGTGCCGGTTCATTATATCAAATACGTGATCATATGATCACGTTTTTTTTTATCACGTTTTTTTTAAACTACCTACATTATTATAAAATTATTTTTATCGATATTGTATTCGGTTGTCCAAAATCGTGACGTTTAACTGATACCGTTTGTCGTTGAAAATATTACAGTATTTTCAAGCATGAGACATTTTTTACGTGGTCCATTTTTTTTATTTTTATTTAGGCAACATCGAGAAGGTATAATTACTTCATTTTGGGGTCAATCTAACTAATATTAACCACAGTTAACTACAGTTAATTACTACTAAATTAATTTAAATTACTTCAGTTAATAATAATTTATTTAATTAAAGTTAGCTGATAACTATTAAATATACTATTAATTAAAAAATATTTAGATTGGACAAAAAACAAAAGATACAAAGCGATATTTTTTTATTTTTTATAATTTTAATTTATTCAATCTGTTTACAAAATAAAAACAATAAGTAATACGGATAATTTACAAACATAAGTCGCGTAAAGAGGAGAGTGTTTATTCACAGAACTACAGATTTTTTTTTTTTCTATTTTAGGAGATCTCTAGACTAGTTTCTTTTTAATTAACGAGGAATTTGTGGAAATGCAAGAGAAGACATGTTATGAATGAGGGGGGTTTATGTGGTTTGTTAATTTTGAATGGAAAATTTTTTAGTGGTTTTTTGCAAGCTCATTTACTGTTTGTATTTTTAGGTCATTACTGAGGGCTGCATTTGTTATGTATCAAGGAGCAACGGTGATAAATCTTAGGGTAATTGATTAAAAGGTTTAAATAGGGCAAATGTTTGCGGGTTTATCTGGGCCCTAAATTTGGATGCCATATGACCATACTAGCCTGATGATTACTTTGTTTAGGAATAGAATTAATTACTAGAATTAGTTTTTGAGACTCAAGTTTGATTTTAGTAGAGGTCTAAGTAGATGGAGGTATAAGTTTAGTTGTTTTTGTTTTTACTTGGTGTGATTTGACCAGGTCAACCATTTATCCAGATTGATAACTAAGTATTTGGTTAATTGGTGAAGTGGATTTAGTTTGTTATTAGTGGGATGCATTCTCTTTTGTTTAGTAAAAAATTTACTCGAGTGGTTTTTTCATCATTGATTTTAATTTTCCAGTTTTCGGCCCAAGATTCTATTTTATTTAGATGTAACTGTAAATTTTGAGATGCGATATCAGAATTATTATTTGACAATAGTATTGCTGTGTTATCCAGCTAGGTTATCCAGCGATGAAGATATTATAAAGTATAAGTGAAAGGTCACTATCCTGAGGAACTCTAGCTTTAATATCATGAATAGTCGAATCAATATTTTTCTGACGAATGGAAAATTACCAATTTTCAAGATATGATTTGATGATTAAATAATATGGTGAAGTGAGTAAGGGTTTTGGTTTAAATAGAAGCTTGTCGTGCCAAACACGGTCAAAAAATTGAGATGTATCTAGAAATACCCCAGGGCAGAATTGTAAAGCAATTATATATTCATATTTTATCGTAGTTTGTCTGTTATTTTTAATCTGACTATCATAGATTTGTAATCAATCACTATACGAACTCTTGCTTTGAAATTTAAGTACGTAAAATATCGATAAAAAAAAAAAAAAATTCACAGACTTAAACACTTTGAAAACTTTAAATAAAATTTAAATTATGTACTTGCGTGTGTGCTGTCAAAAACGTTATGAACTAATTTCGTGTTTTTGATAATTTGTTTAACATAACAGTTTGATTTTGGTAAGTTTATTTATATAATACTGCCGGCAGTCATAATAATATCTGTTAATTTTTTATACGCATTTATTTTCCAAAATTCAAGTGACAAAACTATACTAAATCACATACAATTTTAAACAAATTTCAACATTTTTACATTTATTCTTACACCATAGCATTCAACCTTAGTTCAGCGGGTATATATATATTATTTATATTTTATTTCTTAGTAGACACCTCGAATACAATGCGTACACATGGTTAGACTTGGGTGTCGTCGATGAAGTCCCGTTGCCGCCGACGAAGATAAAGCGCCTGACTGCAGTTGGTTACAAAGCAGAGAGAGAGATAGAGAGAAATGCCTGGCCGTGCCACTACTGTATGGGCTTCGTTGTCGGCTGCCGCAGTAATCTGGAGAATAAATTATATTACACGCAAGCACAAACAATGTGTTCGAACAATGAGCGAGTAATTAATCATCGTT